CGCCAGTCAGTGGCCTGGGTCTCCCTCTTTGGGGCGATCATGGAACCCCCCATTGATCAATCACCCCACCGGCCAGTGGCCTGGTCCTCCCTCTGCAGGGCAATCATGGGGTGATGGCCAGCTCCCAACCAATCGAATTGCACCTGCCTTGGCTGGCCTGGCGCCAGTGGGTGTCATAGTGTGGTCGTCAGGACGGGTCTGTTTGGGTCAGTGAAGATACTGGCCTAGGACGTAACTGCCCACCATAACTGCTTTTAGTTAAAGTTTAATTTCAGACCATCTTTTGTGGTTACTTTAGGTCTCTGAGTTTGCAAGACTGCCATGCAGGCCTCCCCTGAGCTTGTCAGGTCAGCGTGTGGCCCCTTTCGTTCACACATTGATGCCCCTTTGTGAGGAGCTGGGAACCCCCCCACCCCAGCCACCCAGCTGTGGTGTGAGCTCAGCACTAAGCTCTCCGGTGGGCCAGGCCTCTTCACAGAGACCCAGCGATTACCTTTTTATAATCTCATGGCCTCATGACTTGGGGCTCATAAGCTTTTCAAGCACTTATGCAAATATTTAAGCCCTGAGAAGAAAAATATATTGGCTCCAAAATGTGATCAGAAAAAAAAAAAGCAACATCAAAATTAATATGTGTGTAGCCCTAGTCGGTTTGGCTCCGTGGATAGAGCATCAACCTGCAGACTAAAGGGTCCCGGGTTCGATTCTGGTCAAGGGCACATGCCCGGGTTGCAGACTCAATCCCCAGTAGTGGGCATGCAGGAGGCAGCCGATGAATGATTCTCTCTCATCAATTCTCTCTCATCATTGATGTTTCTATCTCTCTCTCACTCTCCCTTCCTTCCTCTCTGATCAATAAAAATCTATTTTAAAAAATCTTTTTAAAATTATTTAAAAATATTAATATGTGTTTAAATATCTACAAATGCAATATTATGTCAAATTAGTCATGGGCAACCCAAAGCAATTCTTATTTAGTTATGATGAATATTGTTCAAGTTATAAAACAAAAGGAATAATTTACTCTTCGCCAAACTTGAAATTATAGAAATCCTTTCCCAAACTGCTCTTGCAGTAAATGGTGTTTGATGGCAGGAGCAGCTTCCTGTGCTTGTCATGAGGAAGGTGGGTCTCTAGGCTATAAAGGCCTTTGAAGGATTCTGCTGGCCTTGCAGTTGTGGACGGAAGGGGCCACATGCTGACCTGACAAGCTCAGGGGAGGCCTGCATGGCAGTCTTGCAAACTCAGAGACCTAAAGTAAC